ACTCAGTATTTGTTGTAAATATTTGTGTTGAATCTCTAAGGGGAAAAGCAGCAGAGATACACTGTGGTGTTCTTACATCTGTTGACAATTCAACCAGTGTTTTAATCACTGTAGAAGCTTCTTTATTGCTAATTTATTTCTGCAAGGAAGTCATATATCCTCTGTTTCTAAAATATGGCTGATTACTAGATTATGGTTGTCCCCAGTTGTTCTATTCCTAGAGTTTGTTTCTTTAAAAATAGTGTTTCCCAAAAAGCAACAAAAGAGCTATTTCTCTGTAGTTAAAGTCTTGGGAAAACTTTTGTAGATTGGTGTATCGTTAACCATTTTCAAATCAAAACTGATTCCTGAAGGATTGTTCTCAGTGGCAGGGTAACTCTGATAATCAATGAGTTTTTATATTTGATTGTATTCTCTCTTTAGTTATGTCATAATGCTTTCACATTTTAGTAAGACATGCATATGTATGAGAGCATTTAGAAATTTCTGTTTTTGCAGAAGTAAAACTACCTTTTAAAATAAACAATAGGCTGGTGTGCAGCTCACACCTGTAATCTCAGACTTTTGGGAGGCTGAGGCAAGAGGATCACTTGAGCCTGAGAGGTATAGGCTGCAGAGAGGTATAGTGTGCAGTGAACGGATCGTGCTACTGTACTCCAGCCTGAGTGACCCTGTCTCTAAATATATATATACACACACACACATATATATACGTATATACACATATATATATGTGTGTGTATATATATATGTGTATATACGTATATATATGTGTGTGTGTGTATATATATATATATACGTATATATATGTGTGTGTATATATATATATATAAAATTTCAGTTAGTGAAACATCATTTAAAGTTTTGATTTAGAAAATATGAGTGTCAGTTTTTTCCCATCAGATGAATACATTGATATTGGCACATTCTTGATTTTGCGTGTGTTTCCACTTGGCCAAAGTATAGCAAGTGTCTATAGATTTTTTCCTGAGGAATATGATTTTTTTTTTTTTTTTTTTTTTTTTCTGAGACGGAGTTTCACTCTGTCTCCAGGCTGGAATGCAGTGGCACGATCTCGGCTCACTGCAACCTCCGCCTCCTGGATTCAAGCAATTATGCCTCAGCCTCCCAAATAGCTGAAACTATAGGCATACGCCATCACACCCAGCTAATTTTTGTGTTTTTAGTAGAGACAGGGTTTCACCATGTTGCCCAGGATGGTCTCCATCCCTTGACCTCATGATCTGCCCACCTCGGCCTCTTTAAAGTGCTAGGATTGCAGCCGTGAACCACCATGCTGAGCAACAATCAATTTCTTTTAACAAGATTATTTAGTGTTCTGGTTGAAGTTGCCTCCTTTGGAGTGAAACAAGCAACAAAAAATGTTGTCACTAATTTAATATATTTTAAATAATATTTGCCCTATTTTAAAAGAAACCAAGAAGTAGGGAAACTGGCTTTTATTTTTAAAACAAGTTGAGGCCAGGCACGGTGGCTCATGTCTGTAATCCCAGCACTTTGGGAGACTGAGGAGGGTGGATCACCTGAGGTCAGGAATTTGAGACCAGCCTGACAAACGTGGAGAAACCCTGTCTCTACAAAAATACAAAATTAGCCGGGCATGATGGTGCATGCCTGTAATCCCAGCTACTCAGGAGGCTGAGGCAGGAGAATCGCTTGAACCTGGGAGGCAGTGGTTGCGATGAGCTGAGATCCCACTGTTGCACTCTAGTCTGGGCAACAAGAGTGAAACTCTTATCTCAGAAAAAGTTGAGTTTTCTAGAGAATGCATATTAGCAGACACTCTGTTGCTACCTACCTTTTGAAGTCATCACTACAAATTGGTATTCAGGTATTCTAAGTAATGTTCATTCAGATTTATCATTGATAGCAACTGAATAAATTGAGGGTTTTTTGTTTTTGTTTTTTAATGCTGCAACCTCTTCTTGTATGTAATTTTTGGTGTCTTTTCCCACTGGGATTTTTCCTTGGTCTGTAGCCTCTTTAATAATGTTAAGAAATTGCTACCTGGCCCAGGCAATAATGTCACCTTCAAGATTGCTTTGAAAGTCATGCTATTTATTTTCCGTGAGTTAACTCTGAGTGGAGTAATTTTCAGTGTGACAGCTCTTTTGATGTCAGTTTCTCTGGAGCACTCCTTGAAAGATGGTTTTGTTTTGTGCTGAAAGAAAGATATTGGGCAGCCTGGACAGTTTTAGTTAACAGGAAGGAAAGTTCTGAGGAGAGCCACTTAAAGAGTTGTATTCATTCATAACAGAACTGAAATGCACAAAGTTCTTCAAGCACTGAAGATCTAAGATTATTTTCTAGATCTCTTAATTGTTTTATATATATATATATATATATATATATATATATATATATATATATATAAAATATTTCTAGAGAAGTCTTGAGGACGTCTCACCCATACTCCAAGCCTCCTAGAATTCTTCAACTTTATTACTGTCTAGTTAGTTGATCTGATTGAGTCTTAGATGTTATTTCTTTTAAAAGTCCCACCTTGGGCCCTGAATACTGATTTACCAGAATGAATAGTTAAATGAAAGATTGGAAGCTAGAGCTAGTTCTCTTACTGTAAACTGACACCCTATCCCCCTGCCTTATTCAAGAGGATGTTGTTCATGTTCTCAAGTAGCAGTACAAAAATCTCACACCTTAGTCTGACTAGTATGAAAACAGCTGCTGGAGCACAAAATGTCCTTCTTCTGTCCCCAGCTGAGATTGGGGGAGGGACAAAGCCCAACTGTTACTTTACCCCATCCTGTCTGCCTGCTAGAAGGCCTGTTTCCTACCCTAATGGTTTCTGCCTAACAAATGGTGTTTCTTTTTTACAGCATTATGATCCTGGACTTGTTGTGGTGATGGTAAACTTAGCAGTGGTAATTTTTTATTTTCAGACTGAATTACTCCTTTTGTCATCAGTGCACCAATATGTTAGGCTTACTTTCTCTGTTGTAGCCTTCATCCTTCTGCTTGGTCTTTTTCATTTTCCTTTCCTTTCCTTATGCAACTTGTCTGATCCTTGTTCATTAAAGGGTAATGTTAAGAAGGGATGTATCTGTTTGTGTTAGAACTGCCACAAAATCAGTTAAAACATTAAATTCTAATACTGTAAAAAACTTGATTTCCCCACAATGTAATGGGCACTAGCACTTGCTACTGCAATTTATAAATAAATTAAAACAAACTTTGACTGCCTTAGAAGGCAAAAGTACTAATGCAGAGTTTATAAACAGGGGTTTACAGAGGTAATGAATTTGTACCAAAACTTCTTGATTCTTGCAAAACAAATTCTGAAAAATCAAAAAATATACCAAAATAAATTCCTTTGACATTTCTTTTTAATTCTTTCATTGGACTATTTGTTTTTACCAGTAAATCCCTGATTGAGACGTTATGAAAGTGATACTGCACCTAGGAAGTCATTTTTATAACCTGTCTTTAATTTGGTCCTTTTGCTAAAGATTGCAGTCACTGCTTATTTATTATACCATTGGGCATAAGGTAGTAATGCATTTTCATTTTGCTTTACTGGCAGTCTTTGTATCTAAAAGAAGGCTGTATTCTAGAAGTTTTCCTTTTTTTTTTCTGACATGACATGAGGTGTTCGTTCTTTAACAGTTTTGTTTTGTACTGTGATAATTCTAATTCTTTCTATTTATTGTTTAAAAACAACAATAGGATACATAAGTAGTTAAACTTACGAATTTTTCATTACGTCTTAAAGGCAAAAATTAATTCCACAGATACAGAGACACTGAATACAAGTGGTTGTGGCATTTTGAACATGGTTTCTTCTTTATTTTTCAGGACCAAAACCAGTCGTGGTCACAGCCTTTTTTTTTTTTTTTTTTTAAGTTTTTTTGGGGTTGGGGGGGTAATGCCTCAGATTTAGCCTAAGAAAACTCCATTTTTAGCCCAAAGGTATAATATATATATGTGTGTATAACAACAACAATACAACCAAAAAAACCAATTGTTTACACCAGCCTGAGTGAAATGATGAGGGAAGTAAACATTGTGTTTTTTCACTAAAGGTGTACAACGGATAAGGTAAGTCCTCTTTTCAGTGGGCTTACATCACAATAAAAAGCACAAGTTGTGATGTAAAACAGCTGTGGTAGTAAAGTGCTTGTCTGCCCCATTTTGCTTTGTTTGGCTGGTTATGAGTGGATTAAATATATATTTATTAAAAAAAATTCTCCAGCATAGATCAATTAGTTTAAAGTCAATTTTCTTCGCAACTAGTCCTTTTCACAGCTTACCAGTTAACCCTGCAGTCAGTGTTAAATCCACCCTAGGAAATGGGACTTTAGAGCACCAGATTAAAAGGAAAACTATTCTTTGTTTCTAAGGGCAACTAATTGTTGCTTCTTATTTACATTTTTCACAGCCCCATTAGATTGTAAAGCATCTCCTTGTCTATGAGGATCATAAAAAAAAAAAAAAAAAAAACTGTAAAGCATCTTCTGAAAACAAATTTTAACATCCTGAGTTGTCATTATGAAGTTTTACTGCATCATGTTTGAAAATGTACTTCTTTTGTTTAACCATGCCAGTTGAGACTTTTTTTTTAACCAGTTTAAAAAAGTTGTATAGGAGGATTATCAATGGACAGAGTGAAGTGCTTTTTGATGGGAAGCTATTTGGGGATCTTAAAAGACATTTTTAAAGCTTTAAAATTTAAACCTTCTGATGCCATTGCTTAAAAGTGCTTTGCATTACTTATTAATGAAATTTTGCCATAGTAATTTGGAATTAATCCCAACTGGAAGGTCAGCCAAGGTAGTTAGTTGGATTTCAACTAGGAAAGGAAGGTCTTGAGTGTAAGCTGTGAGAATGGCTTGTGTTTGGTTCACTGTAGCTTTCTGGTCTCTGCACTCCAAGGCAAGATCTCTAACCACCCAAACCCAATGTGTAAAATGAGCTGTTGGCTGGGCTTTGCACCTTACCTTGATTATGTGTTCCTGTTACAGGGAGAACAGATCCCATTCCAATCGTTGTCAAGTATGATGTCATGGGCATGGGTCGCATGGAAATGGAGGTAAATTGATCTCATTAACTCCTGATGTTTATGGGATATTTTTAAATGATACCAATCCCAAATTCAGATGTCCATGCAAGAATACATTTATCAGATGAATTGTAGTTTTAATATTTTTCTTTGGACAGCTAAAAAATATATTTTACATTTTCATTCAGTGCTACTTTTGAGACTAATAGAATATAAACAATGCCCCTGTTTTAACTGGCACATAAAGAAGTTAAATGGTTTGCTCAGGGTTATACAGCAAGGCAATTTTTAACTTAGATCCAGACCTTTGTGCTTGTTTCAGTTGGCAGTGTTGCTCAGCTCTTAAAATGTCGCTGTGATAAAAGCTTTGCCCTTGTAGAATTGGGTACAGCTGCCATTCGTAATATCTGCTTTTCCTTGCCTCAAATATTTTCTTCATTGACTCCTAGTTATTTGAAAATTAACATTGAGGCTGGGTGCAGTGGCTCACGCCTATAATATCAGCACTTTAGGAGGCCGAGGTGGGTGGATCACTGAAGTCAGGAGTTCGAGACCAGCCTGGCCAACATGGTGAAACCCCATCTGTACTAAAAATACAAAAAACATTAGCTGGGGGTGGTGGTGGGCACTGTAATCTTGGCTACTTGGGTGGCTAAGACAGGAGAATTGCTTGAACTCAGGAGGCAGAGGTTGCAGTGAGCCAAGATCACACCATTGCACTCCAGCCTGGGCAACAAGAGTGAAACCCTATCTCAGAAAAAAGAAAGAAAATTAACATTGAAGTAAAGTCTATTTTCAACAAATGTGCCTTTTAGAAACTGCCAGCATATAAGGATTAACAAATGATTTTGCGTGTTATTTTCCCTGTGGGGTGACAGTAAAGCAAGCTGAGCAAAATACAAAAGTTCTTTTGTTTTCAGATAATACTGTAGTTATATAAATAACTTTTTCATAGTTAATCTTGGGGGTACGTTAGGAATTAAGTCTAATCATCTATTTCTGTCAAGCTTGATTATGCTGAAGATGCTACCGAACGGCGCCGTGTCCTAGAAGTGGAAAAAGAAGACACAGAAGAACTGAGACAAAAGTACAAGGTATTTAAACAAAGCTATTCATTGGGCAGGTGGGGAGGTGCTCACTGAAGAAAAAATAACTCAAATTTTCTTGAAGTCTATCACTGTTGATAGCCTTTGTTTGACATTTGGTGGTGATTAGTAGTAGATCTCAGATTTCTATTACATTCCTATTATTGACTCTTTAAAAACTATAGACATAATATCTATTCCAAAAGTCTGTTAGGAAGATTATATTAGTTAGTGTTTGAAAGCACAGTGCCTGTCACACAGTAGGTAATCAAGTAGTGGTAGCAGTAAAAATTGTTAAAAGTCCTTTGAGGCTGGACATGGTGGCTCACACTTGTAACCCCAGCACTTGCAGAGGTTGAGGCGGAAGTATTACTTGATCTCAGGAGTTCAAGACCAGCTTGGGTGACATAAGAAGACCCTATCTCCACAAAATGAGTCAGTCATGGCCTGTGATCCCAGCTACTTGAGGAGTTGAGACAGGAACATTACTTGAGCCCGGGAGGTTGAGGCTGCAAATCATACCACTGCACCACTCCAGCCTAGGCAACAGCAAGACTTTCTTAAAAAAAAAGGCGGGGGGGGGGGGCGGGGGGGCGGGCACAGTGGCTCACGCCTATAATCCCAGCACTTTGGGAGGCCGAGGCGGGTGGTTCACAAGGTCAAGAGATTGAGACCATCCTGGTCAACATGGTGAAACCCCATCTCTACTAAAAATGCAAAAAATTAGCTGGGCATGGTGGCCTGCGCCTGTAGTCCCAGCTACTCGGAGGCTGAGGCAGGAGAATTGCTTGAACCCAGGAGGCGGAGGTTGCGGTGAGCCGAGATCGCGCCATTGCACTCCAGCCTGGGTAACGAGCGAAACTCCGTCTCAAAAAAAAAAAAAAAAAAACTGGGTTGGTGTGTGCCTTTGAGAGCTTGATACCAATTGATAAGGCTTTCTTTTTTTTTTTTTTGGAGCCTTGCTCATTTGCCCAGGTTGGAATGCAGTGGCACAGTCTCAGCTCACTGCAACCTCTGCCTCTAGGGTTCAAGCAATTCTCCTGCCTCAGCCTCCAGAGTAGCTGGGATTAAAGGCACACATCACCACACCCAGCTAATTTTTGTGTTCTTAGTGGAGACGGGGTTTTACCATGTTGGCCAGGCTGATCTTAAACTCTTGACTTTGTGATCTTCCCGCCTCAGCCTCCCAAAGTGCTGGGATTATAGGCATGAGCCACCACACCTGGCCCTCCTTTTTGTTTTTTTAAATAGATGAGGTATTTTAAGAAGAACATATCAAGAACTATTTTTTTCATTCATTGTTAATTAAACTTAATTCTAAAGCAGAGATTTTATTCATCTTGTCCTATAGAGGTATCAAGTTGAATTTATTCTTTCAGTGTTTTCTTCCTTTTTTTGTTTTTGAAATTATAATAGAATTATTTTATATTCATAAGTAAGCATAATAATTATGCAGAATAACTACATTCTAATACCATATAATTGGGTTTTTAAATAATTCTTTAATCACTAGAAACTGCAGGTTTGAAATGTCCTTGACATATTATTATGAAATGTTTCAAAAATACATTCTTATTCTTTTTTTTTTTTTTTTTTGAGACAGAATCTCACTCTGTTGTCTAGGCTGGAATGAAGTGGTGCAGTCTTGGCTCACTGTAACCTCTTCCTCTTGGGTTCAAGTGATTCCCCTGGCTCAGCCTCCTGAGTAGCTGGGATTACAGGCACCCACCACCACACCTGGCTAATTTTTGTGTTTTTGGTAGAAATGGGGTTTCCCTATGTTAGCCAGGCTGGTCTGGAACTCCTGACCTTGTGATCCACCCACCTCGGCCTCCCAAAGTGCTGGAAACACAGGTGTGAGCCACTGCACCTGACCAAAAATACATTCTTCTCAACCTCTCCCTTGTGTTGGAATTATGAAAAATGAAAACCAGTAACAGACTTCAGTCACTAGAAGACAGTACTTAGAGCATTTAACAACACACCTGGCACAGAGGCCAAAAGCTAAAAACAGTAGTTTAGAACATGTAGTAAATTAGCTTTCAAAAAGGCTGGCCAGGGAACATGCCTTTCAAAGTGTTACATTATATGTCCAATCTTTTCCATTAAATAGGTAAATGTGAAGATAAGAAACAGGCATAGTTAAGATTATCATTTAGATACAGATTTGGTGATGGTACTTAAGGTGGAAAAAGAGAAAAGAGATTATTTTTAAAAATCTGTTCTACCATAAAGAGGAGGAGGAGAAGCGAAGCTATAGCCTGTCAGTTGTGTGAGTGACCCAGGAATATATTGAGGCCTTATAAAGTTTCACAACTACTTTGAACTGTCTGTAAACTTAGCCTCAGTATCTTGAAATTCCCAAATTGGTAAAGAAGAAGGAAAGGAGTGATGTGCCAACCTGGGTTATAAAAATCAGTTGTCAAGCAGTTAATTCAAGGACATGTGAAGAAGGAAAAAAAAACAAGAGTTGTCAGCCAGTCACAGTACCTCACACCTGTAATCCAAGCACTTTGGGAGGCTGAGGTGGGAAGATCACGAGGTCAGGAGTTCAAGACAAGCCTGGCCAATATGGTGAAACCCATCTCTACTGAAAATACAAAAAAAAAAAAAAATTGCCAGGTGTGGTGGCAGGCACTTGTAGTCCCAGCTACTTGGAGGCTAAGGCAAGATAATTGCTTGAACCCAGGAGGTAGAGGTTTGCCCTTGTTGCCCAGACTGGAATGCAATGGCGCAATCTCAGCTTACTGCAGCCTCCACCTTCCAGGTTCAAGCAATTCTCCTGCCTCAGCCTTTGAGTAGCTGGGATTTCAGGCGTCTGCCATCACGCCCGGCTAATTTTTTGTATTTTTAGTACAGACAGAGTTTCTCCATGTTGGTCATGCTGGTCTCAAACTCCCGACCTCAGGTGATCCACCCACCTTGGCCTCCCAAAGTGCTGGGATTATAGGTGTGAGCCACCTCGCCTGGGCTCTTTTTTTTTTTGAGATGGAGTCTCACTCTTTTGCCCAGGCTGGAGTGCAGTGGCATGATCTTAGCTCCCTGCAACCTCTGCCTCTTGGGTTCAAGTGATTCTTCTGCCTCAGCCTCCCAAATAGCTAGAACTACAGGCACATGCCACCACACTAGCTAATTTTTGTAGTTTTAGTAGGGATGGGTTTCACCATACTGACCAAGCTGGTCTGGAACTCCTGACCTCATGATCCGCCCACCTGGGACTCCCAAAGTGCTGGGATTAAAAATTAAAACATTAAAAATCATTAAACCAGGCATGGTGGCTCACACCTTGTAATTCCAGCACTTTGGGAGGCCACGGTGGGTGGATCACAAGGTCAAGAGATCAAGACCATACTGGCCAACATTGTCTCTAAGCAGAACAGGAGTCAGAGCAGCTTTTGTCAGATTTTATTGTCAACAAAGCAGTCCTCATTCTCTGTTGTTGTTGTTCTTGGGTGGGGGGTGTGTGTGGTTGAGACGATCTTGCTTTGCCACCCAAACTGGAGTGCAGTGGCCTGATCATGCCTCACTGCAGCCTTGAACTCCTGAGCTCAAGCTGTCCTTCCACCTTAGCCTCCCAAGTAGCTGGGACCACAGGCATGTGCTACCACACCTGGCTCATTTTTTTTTTTTTTTCTTTTGGTAGAGATGGGGGGACTCACTACATTGTTCAAGTCGGCCTTGAATTTCTGGGCTCAAGTGATCCTCTGTCAGCTTCTCAAAGTGCTGAGATTACAGGTGTGAGCTACTGTGCCTGGCCAGTTTCAACTTTGGATTTGAGATCCACATTCACTGGATGGTTCTGAAAACCTCAAGTTGTTAATTTAGTTTAAAGTGATCCTAGACTGGTAGCTTTCCTGAGTGCTTGGCAAAAACAAATGGAATCATGAAAGGGGAGTTCAGAAACATATAGCATAAGCTGGGTGCGGTGGCTCACACCTGTAATCCTAGCAATTTGGGAGGCAGAAATGGAAGGATCACTTGAGACCAGAAGTTGAAGACCAGCCTGGGCACCATAGTGAAACCCTCTCCTAAAACAAAAACAAAAAATTAGCTGGGCATGGTGGCATGTGCCTATCATCACAGCTACTTGGAAGGCAGAGGTGGGAGGATCACTTGAGCCTAGGAGTTGGATGCTGCAATGAGCTATGATTGTGCCACTGCAATGCACTGGTGACAGAGTAGGACCCTGTCTAAAAACAGCAACAAAAACCAGTTTATCAGGATGCTGGATAGAAAAAAATAATATATTTATGTTAGTATATCTGCATATTAATGAGTTAGAAAATGATGTTTACCAATATGTTACCATTTGTAATAGCATAAAAATATATGAAGCACCTAGGCATAGAGCTAATGAGATATGGAAGACTTATGGCAAAAATTCTAAAACATTAAAAATCATTAAACTAGGCATGGTGGCTCACACCTTGTAATCCCAGCATTTTGGGAGGCCAAGGTGGGCAGATCACAAGGTCAAGAGATCAAGACCAACCTGGCCAACATGGTTAAACCCCATCTCTGCTAAAAATACAAAAATTAGCTGGGCATGGTGGTGCTTGCTTATAGTCCAGCTACTTGGGAGGCTGAGGCAGGAGAATTGCTTGAACCTGGAGGGCGGAGGTTCCAGTGAGCTGAGCTCACGCCAGCCTGGCAACAGAGTGAGGCTCCATCTCAAAAAAAAAAGTTTTATTGAGAATTAATGCCTTAAAAAAAGTAGTCCCCTTTATCCACAGGGAATAGTTATCAGACCTTCCTGCCAGTGGATGCCTGAAACCGCAGATAGGGCCAATCCTGTATATACTGTTTTTTCCTATATGTACATACCTAGGATAAAATTTAATTTTAATAAATTAGGCACAGTAGTTAGAGATTAACAACTAATAATGAACAATTATGACAGTATACTATAATAAAAGTTATATTAATGTAGTCCTCCTGCCACCTTCCTCCACCAGTATCTTCTTGTATTGTACTCACCTATTTTCAGACAGTGAGTGACTGTGAGTAAC